TCCTACTGGCCTCATATTTCTCAAAATTTGGAATAGAGTGAGGTATCTGTAAAAAAAATCAAAACAATGCAGTAAGGGCAAACGAACAACAAATCAGACAACGGGGAGTGGGGGTGGGGAGGTTGTTGCCTTTTTAAAAAAATTATTCCAGAAACCAGTTACAAGGTTAGAGAATGACAGCATCAAAATATGGAACAAGCCCATGGAGGAAGGGCATCCAGTCACTCCGTTAGCTCAAGGTAACTCACCTTCCTCCATAGGTGCATTGGCTATGAGCATCTGTCTCAGGTTTTTGATCAGTCCGGACCACTGGTGGAAGCTGAACTCCCTGGCTACATCCGACATCTGAGGGATGTTCTTAATGGTAAGAAGCTTATGTTGAGGGTGGGGAACTAGATGCTCCAACATGGAACCTGTGTTAAAAAAAACACATGGATGATAATGATAATATAACCATTATATATGAACTATGCTGTGCCCGTGGCAGCCCGCAAATAACAAAGAAAGATATGCAAATTTTCAAAAACCCAAAACTGTGGAAATACATGGGTAGAGATAAACTTCTTGTGTGGAATACAAACAATGACAGCTGATACACTCATTCTTAGTTTTTGTGTCGGAAAAGTGCGCGGACACTTATGAATGTAAAGAAATAAAAATGTGGTCAGTCTTTGCAAAAGAAAACAGAAAGAAAAACTGGAAAAGTCTGGTGCTGATTCAATGTCATTGAAAAGCCAGAAATCATTCTAAAACCCCAGTCAGTACAAGCTGTCCCCATTTTTCAGTCAACTTATAAAACCTAAGGCTTAAAGTTTTAAATAAAGTTAGGAATTTTTTTAGTGTAACAGATACTGCACATGTATTCTGGACATATTCTGGCACTAAATTGATTCATACTTCTGTGTAGAAGACCACAATGTAAATTAGCATAAACTTTCATGAAAATATGAGGATGTTTATGATTGTGTTAGACATTAAGTTGTATTTGAAGCAACTACATGTGTGAGGTCACAAAATAATTTTTAGCAAATTGTGTGCAAGGTCGATTACGGTGCAGAAATACAGCTTTCTATAATCTGCAAGGATATGCGCATTTGCCAGTATCTATGTTATGTCGTTCACGTTTTGTCGAGCTGTTTTTTTAATATATTTGTTTTTCATCTAGACATAGCAAAAAAATTTCACAATTTAGAACTTGCGCATCTTACGAAATAAGCAGACAAGTTACAATATCTGTTCTTTTTTTAGTCTCCACAGCTGAGAAGCGACAGGGAGCTGACCCCCCGTGACCCCGACATGATAAGGGGCTCAGCAGGGAACGCCCGACTGCAACTAAAATTGCACTGCTGGTGCGCCGTGACAGTTGCCATAATCAAAAGAGAGAAAGAGAGAAAAAAAGAAAGAATAAAAGAAGAGAAAAAAACCCCCACTAAAATTAAAAAGGTGGTTTTCTTTACCAAGATCACACATTTGTCCTCCTCCAGCACTATCTGAGACACAGGGCTGTAACACGCTGGTCAGCTTGTGGGCAATCACACGATTAATGTCTTCAAAAGAAATGTTCTTGATGGCCAGAAGCTGGTTGCAAATCTTGTGCAGTGTGTCATTCTCCATCACTACGAGTGCGTCGGCCGTATCGTAGAGGTGAGATAATGTCAGAACTGCATTGTAGTTCTGTACAATAACTTCTCCCGTCGTGTATGGCCAAACAACCTGCGCAAAAGAGAGACAGTAATCACTGCATTTGAGTTTGGTTGTTGTTAAGTTCATCGACAAGAAGTTAATTTAGTGCAGGGCAGGGAAAAGTAAGACAGGCAGACAGAATTAGCAAAGGGTAAGAAAAGAGAAAGGAACCCACAAGTGGCATCCTTTTACTAACCTACTGCATCCACTGAGTACTGCAGTGTGTCAGTTTCTTAATGCTATCCGTACGCCCTGTGGTCATTTTGAACCCCCAGGGTTGTATTCTTCACATTTTAGAATACTTTTAGTACGAAGATCTCTTTGAAACTGTCAGAATTTCTCAAAAAAACGTTTTGACAGACTGCTATGCACAGCGTATGGATCGGATTAACGAGTAAATTTCCTCTTTATAAAGTGGTGGCACAGAGATCCCCCCGTCGTATGGATACAATAGTAAAACACGACGTACGGATAGGGTTAAACTTAAAGCAAGAGGTTCCCACAACCAGACCACTCATTTCGTCATTAGGAAATTATCGGTTTAGACACTACCTACTGGTCTCTTGTAGCAGAAAAATGCCGCCCTATTTACATTACTAAACAGTAAGTGTATTAACTCTTTATCTCTGGCAAGCCACTCCCAGCGGCTCGCGGTCAGAACCACTCTGTTGATGAGCCCGCTGGCAGCAGCTCAGGCACATTCCTTTACAACGGCTTTGATATCAAATTCCTTTTCTGTTATTACCGAAAACAGGTCTCTTTTATCGGGAGCTCATTCATTAGATGAAGGACTATCAAAATAGGTTGACTTGTATTGATTTAATGACCCATTTAGTGATGTTTTTGTCACTTTTAGATCTAGTACCACAAAGGGGGCCTGGCGTAGTGGGTTTACACCCCCACGGAGATAAAGAGGTAAGGCACTATCTCATATACAGTTAAAATTGTCCAAGACAGACAGTCATCCATTGGTAAAAGATAATGGTTGTCTTAGGCAGGTTGACATCTTGGATAGTAGGCTTACCATTATAAATGAATATTAAAAAATGTGGGGGGAGTGGGAAGCCGTCATTTGTACAGGTGCTTGTTGGTCTTGATCAGGTGACAGTTAGAGAAGTGTTGAGAGTAATATTAATACATTATACCATTATCGGTCAATGGCAGGACATTTTACCTGATTAAGAATAAAAGAGTGCGGGTACTCATCCCTCAGGCTTTGCGTAATGTAAGCACCGACACCAGATCCAGTCCCGCCTGCCAGACTCATGAGACTCACAAACCCTCCCAGACGACTGCATTTCTCCGCCTCTTTCCGTACTAAATCCATGACATCCTCATGCGACTTGGGTCCATGAACGCAAAAACCGTGCGCCCAATTGTTACCTGATCCGCGCTTTTGGTGGTAGGAGCGTTTAGCACAGTAAGTCCATCGACCGCTTTTCTTGGCCTGTTGGAGAGTGTGTGAGATGGCTTTTGATTCCATGTCAACAAGAACGGCCCGAGCCATAGGTAGAGAACTCGAACCATCCCGTCCTGCTGTTTCTCGTTGAGTGAAAAATTTTTCCAAAGAACTTTGCATGTAGGCTTGGTTCTCTTTGTTGCTCAGACCCGTGGACTTGGCAAAAATATCATCTACGAGGGTGGAGAAAATCTGCCCACCAACTTGATTCCCACATTGGCCCAGCTGGAGGGTTATCAATGACATCTTGAGACTTCAGCTGAAGCGAAAAAGGAGAAAAAAAAATATTATAGTGTTGTGTATAATACAATTACCTACTCACACAAAAACAAAGTTGTAATTATTTCCACAGAGAGCTGGAATAGGTAAAGTCAGTTACAGAAGAAAATTACAATTCCAGGCATTCCTTCCACTTGTCATAAACAAACAAAACAAAACTTTTAATGCAACAATTATTACATTCAAAGTACAAACAGACAGTGAAGCTGGTGGCTTTCAAATAACACTGAATTTGCTCAAGAAAAATGGAAACCTTTCCAACTCATCTTGACAATGATTAAGTGGTACCCATTGGCAGGTTCGGTTCAGTTTGGTTTAGCTGTCGGGGCTAGCCAGATTTTCCTCCATGGAAGGGTAAAAGCTACTGTCGTAGAACAACCGAACCAAACCGATGACCTTTAAAACCAAACACATTTGTTTTCAAGGTTGCAAGTCGGACAATTGGTTTGAAGCAGGGCTCTATTTTGTACTGTACATTGAAGCTGCCAGAAACCGAATCTGACTGATCCTCCAATGGGCACCACTTACAATACTCCAGTCTTGATCCTAAAACTAAAGGCTATAGATTATAAGTTGTAAAGTTTTAGTACAATTGTGGCAGCCAGTTAATAGTAGAATGTTTACAAAAAGGAAAGAAATTAAAAAATTTGTGTGTCTGTTTATTAGAAATTAAAAAATTTGTGTGTCTGTTTATTAATTTCTACTAAGAGATTTATACGAAGATTTAACGATATAATTATTATAGCCTGTATAATAATACACACAGAGAGTAAGTCAGTCTTACCACTAGGACTATTTTCCTCAGTTAAAGCCTAGTCTGCCTTCGGATTTCAAAAGGCGCCCAGCTGGGAGCCTTCAACAAGCTCAAAAAAATGTGGAAATATTCTAAAGAAGCTACGCTCAAAGTTAAAGCTGAGACCGTACAACTCAAAGGTCCTGTCAATAACTCTATATGGTAGCAATTCATGATCATGAAGCTTTAAAGAAAGAATAGGAAAGGCGACTAGACTCCTTGACAAATGCCTGCGCAGGATCCTCAACATCTACAGGAAAGATTCCACTGCGAAAAAGAAGTAACAGAAAAATTCCAACAGGAGATGCTGATACACACCATGTAAACATGCAAGAGAAGAAAGCGATGGCTTGGACATAACTCGAGAGTTTCCCATTACGCTGCGTTAAATTTAGGAAAAATCTATGGAAAATAAGGCAGCAGACCACAAAAGGTGAACTGGAAAGAGACATATCTATCTATATATTATATATATATATATTTTTATAAACGAAAGACTTCAAATTAGTAGACAGGAAATGGAGTGATGTCCCTGCTTTAGCTGTTGAAACATCTTCCAGGTCATCTCTGCATCGTGCGCATGAATCAAGTTGTGGGGAGTCTCTACAGCGTAACAACCCGTAAAAGTAGGCTAGACTGCTGGGGCTACTCTGTCAATAGACTACCCATGGAGTTAAGAAAACTGTTTATTAATTTCTACTAAGAGATTTATACAAAGATTTAACGATATAATTATTATAGCCTGTATAATAATACACACAGAGAGTAAGTCAGTCTTACCACTAGGACTATTTTCCTCAGTTAAAGCCTAGTCTGCCTTCGGATTTCAAAAGGCGCCCAGCTGGGAGCCTTCAACAAGCTCAAAAAAATGTGGAAATATTCTAAAGAAGCTACGCTCAAAGTTAAAGCTGAGACCGTACAACTCAAAGGTCCTGTCAATAACTCTATATGGTAGCAATTCATGATCATGAAGCTTTAAAGAAAGAATAGGAAAGGCGACTAGACTCCTTGACAAATGCCTGCGCAGGATCCTCAACATCTACAGGAAAGATTCCACTGCGAAAAAGAAGTAACAGAAAAATTCCAACAGGAGATGCTGATACACACCATGTAAACATGCAAGAGAAGAAAGCGATGGCTTGGACATAACTCGAGAGTTTCCCATTACGCTGCGTTAAATTTAGGAAAAATCTATGGAAAATAAGGCAGCAGACCACAAAAGGTGAACTGGAAAGAGACATATCTATCTATATATTATATATATATATATTTTTATAAACGAAAGACTTCAAATTAGTAGACAGGAAATGGAGTGATGTCCCTGCTTTAGCTGTTGAAACATCTTCCAGGTCATCTCTGCATCGTGCGCATGAATCAAGTTGTGGGGAGTCTCTACAGCGTAACAACCCGTAAAAGTAGGCTAGACTGCTGGGGCTACTCTGTCAATAGACTACCCATGGAGTTAAGAAAACTGTTTATTAATTTCTACTAAGAGATTTATACAAAGATTTAACGATATAATTATTATAGCCTGTATAATAATACACACAG